CACGCCGAAACATTTGGACTTGATCTGGAAACAATTTGGCGTGGGCTTAAAGGAGAGCTTTTTGGATGCGCAAGGTTGGGCCATCTACTTTGCTTGGTATGCTTTCGTGGTTCTCTGCTGGGCTGTGCTGCCTGGCAAGTGGGAGATTGGAACAGAGCTCCGGACAGGTGAACGATTATCGTACAAGATCAATGGTGAGTGTGAGGGCGGGTCAATGCATGCGCTGCCCAACGGGCGGGGCCAAGACGACGAGAGCGCGCGGATGTGGAGCGAATTGGTCAAGTGCTCATTGCTAGGCCAGCATGCTCAAGTCGAATTTTCTGCACCTTCTGCGCTCTGCTTGCCTTGCAGCTTTTGCGACCCTCGTAGCTTCCTTTGTGGGAGCTGTAGCAATCATTTCTTACAAAGGCCCACAAGGCTTCACCTTTCTCTACGACCATTGGCCAGCACTCGTCAGTGCCTCCATCGCCAACTCGATTGGCCAAGCTGTCTACGTGTATGCGGCAAGCTATCGCACCGGGCGGCTCTTGGCCAAGGGGGGCAACACTGGCAACTTCCTCTACGATGTGAGTAGCATTGGCTTTGCAGAATGCAAGTTTCTGCGACAGTAAAGATTGCTGATTGTGCGTACTCTGCTGTCGTACATGCGTGCCATCTCGCAGTGGTTCATCGGAAGAGAGCTCAACCCGCGCATCGGCATCTTTGACATCAAGACCTTCAACGAGCTCAGACCGGGTCTTATTCTGTGGGCGCTTTTGGACATCAGCTGCGCTTGCAAGCAATGGGTCAAGCTGGGCGGACGCATTACAGACTCTATGGTACTCGTGGTCGCGTTCCATGGGTGGTACGTCATCGATGCCCTTTTCAATGAGGTGAGCCTCGCGCATGCCTTTACATCGTTCGGTCTTGGTAGCCAAAGCCGTGCTGACTCGAGATGCACGACGAATATTCGCGCTAGACGGCAATCTTGACCCAGATGGACATCACTACGGATGGTTTTGGTTTCATGCTCTCAGTCGGAGACTTGACCTGGGTGCCATTCATCTACAGTCTGCAAGCGCGCTACTTGGCCTTTGTTCCCGTTGATCTGGGCTACGCAGCCACTGCCGGAATCCTGTTTGTCAATGGGCTGGGCTACTGGATCTTCCGCGACTCGAACGGAGAGAAGAACGATTTCCGCAACGGCACCAACCCAAAGAATTTGAAGTACATGGAGACAAAGACGGGAAGGAAATTGTTGACGAGCGGATGGTGGGGAAGAAGCAGACATCCGAATTACATGGGAGACCTCATCATGAGTCTGGCTTGGAGCTTGCCTACCGCTTTCAACACGCCCATCCCCTACATGTACCCCGTCTACTTTCTGGTACTCTTGGTGCATCGTCAGAGGAGAGACGATGCTGCTTGCAAGGAGAAGTACGGAGCAGAGTGAGTACGAGTGTCTGTGCTTTGGTGATCTTCTTTCTCGCTCCGAAGCTCCTTGGCTAACACTACATCTCTCGCCTCTCGTCCCTTTTTAGCTGGGACAAGTACTGCAAGATTGTTCCTTGGCGCATCTTCCCATACATTTACTAGGCACGCTCAAAGGATTGCAAACCTAGCGATGTACGGCGCTGCGTGAAGCCAAGCTGACACTGGCAGCTCGTTCTCCCGTGCAAGGCTTGGCTATCCTCCTCATGGTCTTGCTGCATCGATAATCTCCTCTTCATACCCCTTCTCCTCGTCGACATTTCTATTCCCTCCCTCTCCCTTTCCCTCCTCCTCCCAATTCGCTTCTTGGTGGGCGATTCCTTTTGCTCCTTGCTGTTGCACATCCTCAATCGACTCGAGTCGATATTGCATCGAGTGCGTGGGTTTGGTGAGGCAAAGAAGCTCTTGCCCATTTACATTCACGTGGGATACGCAACTTGTACATGTACAACCCTACACCGCTTTGTGAATATCTGACGTCTCTTTGATGCCGCTCAGGTAAGGGACCACGAGTCAAGCGCAATCGAACTTGCGGAAATTTTCCCAAGGAAAATAAATCCCTCACACATGAATGGGAAAAACAGAAGGATGGAAGCAAGCATTTTACATGTTCTTTCTGGAGGGGTTTGATGTTCGTTTGCATGGGAGGCGGCAAGAAGGAAATAGGTTCATTTGTTGTCCACCCCGACTTTGCCGTGAGCGTGAGGGCAAGCTGAGTCGGATCTAGACTCGTGACTCGAGGACTGCTATGCTATAGCGGAGAAGCCAAAGCAGCGGTCGCCCGGACATAAAGAGTCACGAGTCACGAGAGTGGGCTATGCGCGCATCACGTGTAAATTGATCGAGACGCGACGCGTGTTGCGCGTTCAGGCTGGCTGGCCGCCCGGGCCGCTTAATTCTTGTCGTTTTGTAAGGAAGGAGGGGTGATGCGAAGGCACGAGAGGGATGGATGGGAACTTGGAAGTGGCAATTTCGAATCAACACAATCACCAATCTTTGAGAAGGATCATCGTGCAGTGAAAGTCTTGTTGTACAGAC